TATTTTTTTTATATGAGAATTGAAGTCGGTTTTGTTTTTTGCTTAAAAAATTACTTATATTTTAATAATTATCAAAATAATTTACTCCCGATATGTGTGGGACCAGTTTTCAGTGCTCTAAGCCCGTTATCGATTCGATCGCATTAATTTGTTTATACCACACCAAGAACATGCAAATTAACAAGTCATTTACCCGATTATTTCTTGCTTTCTTTCGATTTTCGTGAATGCACAACGCGCACACAAATAAGCAGTTGTATGAGTATTTTGTATGTATGTGTGTACATATATGTATCTGCTATTTCTGTCAAAGCGTCTGCGCAAACGTGACGCGATTTATGTTTGTCATTATTTTGATAAGTATTCAATGAATGCTTAAGACACCCATAACATTTATTCAATAAAATGTTACTGATACTTTTATGTATGTATGTGCGTAGATATGTACGTATGTGGGTACTTTTACCTGTGTCTGTTTTGCCCTAATCGAGAGCAACAAATAATAAGCATTCGACATGTCTCTGGGATTATCAAGCCAATTGTGTTCTGGCGTAGGAGACAATTATCGAAAAAAATGTGGTACAGAATTTCCATTATTCAAAATCAGCAAACACATCCGCGTTAGCAAGTCGGCGCATTGTCGCGATGAAAAAAAAAAATAAAAATTATAAAATCCGTACGTAGCACATGTAGGAGAAAAGCTACTTTTCGATCTAACCCAAAAAACCAGTTCTGAACTAAAACATAATTGGCTAAAATGTAAAGAATGTCCGCTGCTGATTTGGGCGTCATGATAGAATTTTACAAGCAATGTGCGATTAAGTACCATGGCAAATGGTTTTTTTTAATTGTTTCATATACATGTATGTATGTTTATGCGTTTCATGTTTGTATGTATAAAGTATCGACATATGTGAAGTGGCACTTATGTTGCTCATAGGTACACTTCGTTATTCTAAAATTTCCATAATAATTTGAGAGCAATTACATCAATAATTTTTGTATAAATTAGCCAACGTAAATTGTATTTGGCATCAGTTAACTCGCAGCAGTCAATTAACAACAAACTATCACAAAATGAAAGTAAGTGAACTACAAACGCAAAATATCCTAGCAAAATATTTGCTATTTTTATCAAATTTCTTATATATTCATTATTTTCTGCTTTCTTCCTCGCAGTTCCTCATCTGTTTGGCTCTCCTCTTCGCCGTTGCCCAGGCTAATCCCGGTTTGGTGGCGCCTTTGACCTACTCGGCCGTTGGTGCGCCCGCCTATGCCACCTATGCTGCCTCTCCTTATGCCGCTTACTCGACCTATGCTGCACCGGCTGTCACTACCTACTCGCATGCTGCTTACTCTGCACCAGCTGTGGCCACTTACTCCAACTACGCTGCACCGGCTGTCTACAGTGCTCCTGTTGCCCGTTTCGCTTCTGTTGGTCCAGTCACTTACAGCGCCCCCCTTGTGTCCACACTGTTGAAGAAGTAAACACTTGAATTTTTTTTTGAACTATGAGAATTAAAGCGAATAAAACCAAATGATCAAATACTGAAAGACGAAATTTACTTTGTAGTTTATTTTCTTTGGCTAGTTTAAACAGGTAATAAAAAACTCACAACCGACTTCAAAACTGAGTGAAAAATATGCGCTGCCAAATATATGAGTACCATTAGTTTCTTTGTGATCCAAGGACCGCAACTAAACCAAATGAGTAAGGGGCTATCCATGAGGTACCGCTTTTCCGATAAAAAAAATTATAATTATGGAAAACGGTTGAAAAGTCCAGAGTTAGCTGGTAACGCACTAAAAAAAAATGTTCCCACGAATTTACAAAAAATGTTTTGACTTGTCATAGTGCTAATATTAACTATACGACACCCATATCTATATTTACCAGTTTCGCTATTTATTTTTGTATTACTTAATTTTAATTATTTTTTATGAAAACATAATTCATTCTATAACAAAAACCATATAACTCATCTAATACTGTGTGTAGTGAAGGTTCCTTTAAAAAATTTCTGAGTGCTCCGAATTTATGAGTCTAAAATGAGTATTTTTTTCGCCATAAATATGATTCTGATACCAGTCAACCAAGATAGTATGGCTTCTAACTTGCACTCGTATTGGCGTACCCTTCTAAGAAGGGAAATATGCTCTTTTTACACGCTTTTTTAGCTCATTCTAGAGGAAATCTTATTAAGGAAAACTTTGCTTTTGCCAACACTGGGTAATAAAGTCTTCATTTTGAACCTTAAAGCCAGTCTGCGAACTGATGAACAGAGCTATGTGTTGAAATATTGTGTCCGTCAACGGAAGTTTTATTATTAGTTAAGTTTTTCTAACCTAAAATTGAATAACACTCTGTCAAGGAAACTTTTTCAGCGCCTGAAGGATTTTTTCGCTGTGGTTTATCAACACGGTGACTAAGCGTACTTTCTCTCAAATGCCAGTACTTTCTTTTAGGGTGCTGTCCTTTGACTTTATTTATTTTTTGAAAAGTCCTCTCTCTGATATATAAAACTTTTATCAGTTGGCCTAATTAATGCATTTTAAAAATTAACGCTTGGTAACCTTGAACTTTGAAATAATAAAAGGAACAAAAATGTACTCAGACTGCTCCAATCACGGAAGCCTAAACATGTGTGCTATTTTGGTCAGTTACTTTTTACCATGTAAGAGTGTTCTTGTGAAAGCTCTAAATATTAAAAGACTGCCAGCAGAGGATTGGGACACAATTAAAAGTTGTTTGATGGAATGTCTTTAATTTTATGAGGCACACAGTAAATTAGTGCTTTGTATGCAGAAAATACTAACTGCAACTTTGAAGTACGGTTGCCAGACGTACTGATTTTTCAACTCTTGTACTGATTTTATTCATTTCTTCAATCAGTTCGCTAATGTCCTGATTTTTCCAAAATTTGTACTGATTTGTACTGAATTTTCTATTCAAACAAAATACATACTTTAGTATTTTCTTAAGGTTTTTACATAACGTTGCAACTTCCTTAAACTGTATTGTAAAAAATAAGAAGAAAATAATTTAATTATAGTTGACATGATTTAGATAATGTTTGATATGCCCAAGAAATTAATAAAACAAAAAGATCAATCGTTTTATGGGCATATCGCCGGTTCATTACGTACCAGTTGCGATAATATGATGGAGCTTAAATTATTTAAAAAGTAGGCCTAAATTTTTGGCGATTGTTGTTAGTTATCTCGAAAATAACTTTCAGTTTAATAACAATAAATTTCAATATTCGAATGTCTTTCGCCTATAACGTACAACTCCCTTTTCTCAATTTACTGACTTTGTAAAAAAGTTTTGCATACAAGACCTAGAGTTAGATACTCTTTTTAGCGAATTCTTAGTCTTTCACAGTTTTTGCGTAGTTGAAAAATTATTTAAGCGATGAGGAAATATAGATGAACTCCTTAAAAAGTGGTACTTTTTCACAGTATTAGAGGATCTTAAGAATAAAGTTTGTTTCCTGTTGCAAAGAGAGAAACCGGCTTCTAATTAAAATTTTTGAAAGTGAACTTCAAATTAAAAGTAATTTTCAAAAAAGAAATGTATAGAATTCTTTGACAATTTAATCACTGAAAATGGGAAATGGGAATGGGAATTATTGCTACTCAAAAAGTCACAAATATAAAATAATTTATTGGCTCCTGTGTATAATGTGTACACTCATGTTAAAATGAATAACACTTTTACTTTTTATGAACTATACTTTATTTTTATACCAAAATATTGTTAAAAACAAGAACTCAGCCGTTTTAAATTATTTTCTATTACTTACATTCATAATTTTGCTTTAAATAAAAATGTACTGAAAAGTACTGTGTTTTTTAGCATGAAAAAGTCTAATGTTCTGATTTCGCGCATACAAAATCTGGCAACCCTATTTTGAGGGCGCTAAACGTTTCACCCCTACAATGTTTTTTTTTTCAATGCAGAGAACTAGTGAGAATAATATAGAAATTATAGTTGTAAAAATCTACAAATATTTTTAACCGACTTGAAAAAAACGAAGAGGTTATCAATTTGCCGAAATATATATTTTTATGTATGTTACCGCATAGGTAAAATATATCAAAGAAATACCGCAAAAGAAACCAAAACGGCTTGCAATAACAAAAAACAGCTTTGTTGGTGGCTTGTTTTTTGGTATTATAATACTGTTTTTTTTTTTTTTTGTCGTTTTTACCACCACAAAAGAATTGAAAAAGGGGGACAAAAAAATAGCACCTCGTTTGGAAATGGCCCATATGAAAGTTTGTCCCTTATTTTTATTTCAAAAATATGGTCACCGTATTTATCAACCAAACGAGGCGAAGCTGTTTGGATAAGTTTGTTCTTAGCTAAGCAATTAGCGGCGAGCTTGGCCCATTGGGGGACGCGACTTCGGCTCCCGCTTAGGTCTAGAACAGTTCCAGGCAAAATACACCCGCACACATAGCAAAGAAAGTGCACATAGCTCCGCGAGGCTACTGGCTGCCTGGCACTGGTCTAAAACAGAAGTCCGTTGAGGAGGCGAAGTGTGTGGATATTTTTATGTAGACTTTGAATTGTATCGAAGCCCAATATGAACGTTTGATAGACGATAATGGCAGTACGATCTTGTGGATAATCTGTACACTATGCAGCAGTGAATAAGCTTAATACTTCGTTTCCACCACTCCTTAACTGCAGCTTATGCAAATTGGAAAAAGGAGATTACAACTTAAAGAACGTAATTGCTCACATTAAGCACACGCGAGTGAAAGAAAAAAAGCAAACAGTAGAAAATAAACCTTGCCATGGACCCATGGCATTCGAATTCTTAAAACTTAAAACTGTATTTAAACTTTTTGTGTTTGATATTTTTTTCTAGTTTCGAAGCCATTGTGTTTCGGTAAAGGGACTTTCTCTTGTCATCCAAGCAGTTCAGATTGGCGCTTTGAAGATTACCAAAGTCGCTCCACGCATAAAACATTGAGTCTGTAACGACGATAACGATGTTTAACTGGGAATTAGGTGTTAACCATAAATGGTTCTTGGACTTCACCGAGCAAAGCGCTTCTTGAGGTCATTGGTATCATTGAAGGTTATGCCCTCGAAGCACAAGTGTCGTTTTCAAATGAAGGCTAGACATTCAAATTTGTATTGGAAATGTCATCTTATAGGCCCATTTCACATAAATCTACGTCTCGTGTCTCAATTCTATTCAAACACATTTTGATGGTGTAAAACTTTAATCAGAAACATCGAATGTAAAAACCCAATGAGCAAAATAAACTTGCTGGAAGTTTACTGAAAGTTTTGACAGCGTATAAAAATTATAATCGTTTTGCTTGGGTTTTTCCTCGCCTTTCCATTTTTAAAAACAAATATGGTACTTAGGATTATAAGTTACCAAACGTTTCTGCATTCCATCTAACAAACTCTCTTTTTATTTTTAGAACCTACAAATTTTGACAGCCTTGCTTTTTTGCAATATCATTCGCAACAAGCAGTAAAAAAATTTCCCTTTGACAAAATTTCCAGCAAATAAAAAAATAGTATGAAGCGGAACAGGCAGGCAGTGACAATAAGCATTAATACCCATTGTCGATAGCAAATGTATGTATGTATGTATACAGAGCATTTTTTTTTTGGGCTTGAGGCTAAATATGAGCTACAATGTGTGGGCGAGTTCTTGCGGATATAAGAATGTATGTATGTATATATACCTAATAATGTACATATAAATAATTAAATGAATAATATATTGGTATAAGCGAAAATAATTGCGTAAAAAATGTACTTACATACCAAATTTTTGCTATAAATTATGCTTGAGAACTCATAATTGGCATCAGTTAACTCGCAGCAGTCAATTAACAACAAACTATCACAAAATGAAAGTAAGTGAACTACAAACGCAAAATATCCTAGCAAAATATTTGCTATTTTTATCAAATTTTTTATATTCATTATTTTCTGCTTTCTTCCTCGCAGTTCCTCATCTGTTTGGCCCTCCTCTTCGCCGTTGCCCAGGCTAATCCCGGTTTGGTGGCGCCTTTGACTTACTCGGCCGTTGGTGCGCCCGCCTATGCCACCTATGCCGCCTCTCCTTATGCCGCTTACTCGACCTATGCTGCACCCGCTGTCACTACCTACTCGCATGCTGCTTACTCTGCACCAGCTGTGGCCACTTACTCCAACTACGCTGCACCGGCTGTCTACAGCGCTCCTGTTGCCCGTTTCGCTTCTGTTGCTCCAGTAGCTCCAGTCACCTACAGTGCCCCCCTTGTGTCTACTCTGTTAAAGAAAAAGTAAAGTTTTGAGCGATTTTTGTGATTAAAATGATACTTATGTTAAAGGACCAAATACAATTTTCGAACTGAAAAAAACTAACACATTTTGTTTTATTCCTTGCAATCATCCAACCCTACAGTGTGTGAAAAATATGATCGAAAATGCTCTGGGAACTTTCATCCAGCTAAAAATTAAAATAATGGCACGCGGGTATATAGGTTTTTAGAAGAATTCTGGTTTGACGTGTTCTTCGAAGTGAAGCTTTCGTTCCGTTCTCTTTTTTATAAAGCAACCGCATTTCTGGCTGGTATATTTCAGGACGAATGGATACGGATTGAGCCAAGAGCTTGTGTGAGCAAATCCAACTTTTGCCAAAAAATGTCAGTTACGCGGTTTTGTACTTTAAACCACCATATTCATTAATAAATTTTTTTCGATTTAAACAGGAAATTCGATCAATACTTTTAAAACTTATTAATGAATTGGTCATATAAACGATCTATATGAAGAAAAATGGGCGTTTTTATTAATGAATGGTATTGAAGCTCGGTGTCTGCCAGACTATCAAATCAGTAGCAGGGGGTTAATTTAGTGACAGCACTGCTATTGGCATTAAAATTTCATTACCATTACCGTTATCGTTACCATTACCAATGCTATTATCATTATCATATGATTACAACTACCATTACCATTTCCGTTACCAATACCATTACCATTATCATTACCATTACTATTGCCATTACTATTGCCATTACTATTACCGTCAGTAATAGCACTGCAGTTGCAATTACAATTACCGTCAGTAATACCACTACAGTTGTCATTACCATTACCATTACTATTTACATTACCATTGCCGCCACCATTTCCATTACTACATATTACCATTACCAATATCATTACTATTACCATTACCATCGCAATTAACATTATCTATACTATTACCATTACCAATGTCATTATCATTACCATAGCCGTTGCTACTTCCATTACTTTTACTAAATAAGCTAAGAATAGCTAATCATAAGTATCAGCACTACCATTACCTTTACTATGTACTACGATCGTCGTAAGTACGGTTTTGGTTTTCAGTTTGAAATCTTAACATAGGGGCATTCAGCATCAAAACATCAAATAAAATGCAAGCTGTAACTGAAATTGCAAAAAAAAGAGCATTTAAAATTCAGGTTTTTCACAACCGAATGCACAAGTATTGATATATACCCAGTGGACAAATGGGAATGCATTAGCTTTTTCTACAACAAGCGAATAATGTCTAGTTTTGAAGCCACAAACAAAAATAAAAAGTTTGAGAACTAACCTAGATGTGTATGTCTTTTTTCACGTGATCCCAACAGCTGCTGTAGCCGAATGGATGCGTGTTCGACTACCAACTGTGGTTGGTCACGGTTTCAAACCGTGTGGCACGGATGTTATTTTTTTATCAATTTTATTTGTACATAGATTCTAATCATAGTTTTGTAAAACGACATGCGACAACGCTGTAAAGAGATTCTTGCATCTTTTCGTGCCTTGGTTATAGGGGCTATCCATTACCTTAAGCAGTCCCAAACATTACTTTTATCCACTGGGTATGTATAAATAATTAGTACGTACACACATACACGAGTAGGAATTTAAGAAATACGAATAGGCATACATATATAAATTTCTATTAAAAAAAAATAGAGGCTTATCCGATTGTTGGTAAGAAACACTTACATGTGATATTCGCATTCGCGTTTTCAAACCGGTTTCGGCTGATCACATTAACATTTCACAAACACTTAACAAGAAAAAAAAAACGGTCTTTTTTTATTATTCGGTCTTAATATATTTAAATAAAAAGAAAGCAAATCATTAGACGACACTGTTTATTGTCTAATTAATTAAAACTGCCAAACAAAACTTGAATTAATTTTGGCAGAATTCGGACATGCGCACTCGCAAGCAACTGCCTGACTAACAGACATACATACATACATACACGCATGTCTACATATTAAGATAAATATATATATAACTGTATTAAATTAAAATATAATTTCGAAACCAGTATTTTCTTATTACTGAACGGGTATCAGCTAGTACGTATGTATCTTTAATATTGTCTCACGCCAGAATCATCGGAAGCCACATGACAAACGTTCTAGAGACCAAATATCAGCTACTGAACATCAACAGCTACCGGATATTACGGTTGTGGGACCAAGTGAGAAAAAGTATACACATTTATACACACAAAATAAATGAATATATTTACATATGTATATATACACATAAATACATATGTTTGTATGTATGTATGTATATTTTTATTTATTACTCAAGATGTTCTAGACGAACTCATTTGTATAAAAGGATTGACTTCAGCACTAAGCGCCACAGTTGTTAGTTGACTTAGTCCAGTCGTATTCAGCAAAAATGAAAGTGAGTTTTGTTCTTAAATACATACATTCCATTTCCAGTTGAACTTTAAAATTTTCAATACAGTGCTTTTTTGATAAATTCTCACATTTCTAACGCTATTTCCATTAACTTTGCAGCTATTTGTATTCTTCGCTTTATTGCTCGCCGTGCTTGGCCTTACTTTGGCTGATGTATCGCATTTGCCCGAGGTACAAGCTCAGCGCCAGAAGCAGGCTGCTGGCGTAGAACATGGACACCAGCAACATCACCACAACACTCATGGCAGCGCTGGTCACTCAACTCATTATTGAATATTGTTGGACGATTTTCTGCTGTGATTACATACATATCTACATACAAATGTGTTTGATTTCCCATTAAAATAAAATAAATGAAGTATTACTCAAGTTTAGCTGATTTTAGCAAAAAGTTTTTGGTGGTCAGTTATATGTGTATTAGAGACACCCATGCAGATTAGCGATTTTGGCCGGCTCTGAACATACATATCACTTTAAGCCGATGTTAGCTTCTTACACAAACAAAGAGGTTTTCGACTGCAGCGTTTCTACTAGCAAATAGTGATGCCAGATCGAAATAAAAAAATATCGATTTTCGAGTCGAAATAAAAATAATCGATGCAGGAAGGAGAGTATGTCCTTCCTGAGAACTTCCAAGTGGTTTAAGAAATTTTGATAGAAGAAAATATATTTTCCATTTCATGAGCATTTTTTTATATGTTTGTGTATATCGTCATCTGAAATGCAAAAAGACGTAACAAACACCATCGTTAAAATGCAAAAAGTCATAACTAATAAAAAATTCAAAATTCATTTTTTGATTTATATGATGGATTTCATCGAATTACAACTCCCTACATCATTTTATGAAAAAAAAATTTAAATATTAGTCACGACTCTTTCCATTTCATTTACGATGTTGTTACGTCTTTTTGCATTGCAGGTGGGAATATTAGTTACGGAGTTTTGGTTTTTATTTAAAGATGGATATGTATACATATTTACTTAATTCCTTTAAGCAAGAAATGCGGATTATTTTTTTAACCGCCTTAAAAATGAGGATTTTATAGATCCGTCGGAATATTTTTTTTTTACGTATTGTAGCGGAGTACTTTGGACCTCGTGTGCCGTTTTCATAATTATTTTTTAACAAAAAGTTGGTACACCAAAGGTGGTCTCATACTAATTAGGTTTAGTTCCGATTATTGGATAGGAAATTAACTCTAAAATTTGTATATGAGTATTGAAGTTATTTGTTAGTTGGAATTTTTTCGGAATTTTTCGAGGTTTTTCGGAATATTTCTAACTTTATCTGTTTTTAGATTTTTCGGGTCCGTCAGGACTTCTTGAAATTTTTGTTTCTAAGTGTTCCGAACTTTACTTTCGTTATTTTTGTGGAGCATTTCGAATATCTTTGAGACTTTTAAGTAATTGTTTGCAACTGTTTGCGGAACACTTCTTAATTGTGGCCAGAGCAACATCAATCGATATATTAATTCGTACTTAAATGTTAGTTTTTGAGCGCTTCAGCGACCTGCAAATACTTTTGATTAAAAAAACTGGGATATATTGTTTTCGGTATTGAACAATCTTAGGGGATGAGAGCATTGTAATGCAGAATTCTCACCAGCTTTGGAAGTTTTATAATATAATTGGTTTTTGCGTGGTAATAACGAAGCATGATATTAGTTATACTGCGAGATATTAACGCTAAGTCATTGCAATGTCTTATTTTGCTGGAGGTGTGGACGCCTGATGTGCTTCCCAGTGTAAAATTACCCCTGTCAATACTCTTGACCAGAGTTGACCTAACTACCACTCCCATCTTCTTGCAACGGCCTCGCACTCGCAGGGCAAGTGTAATGGAGTCTTCTCGATCGAATCACAGAAGGCCTCTTAGTGACCCGTCACAGTGTCTTGTATTTTCCTTCGCCTCTCTTTGAAGAAGTTTATGATTACCCTGTGCTTTGTAAGGCTGTCAGTATTTAGGCTCGTATAGACTTATCGTATTACGCCAGTATTGTTCTCAAAATATGTTCGGCTCCTTCCTAGTTCTTCCATGATTGTGGTAGTTCCGACCATAAGGAAGAGCTCAGGCCCTATAGGAGAGAGGGTCCTTATTGGGTCTAATTACTTCGGTTTAGATACAATGCGTGATTCCAGAGCAAAGACCCAATGTTTTAACGAGAGTTTTGCTGCAGGCTAGAAGGCAGGCCGTATTAACCCTCTCTTCCAAATTCAACCTCCATTTACTGTCCTTAACAACTCCAAGGTACCTTTTACACGGTCGAGCAGTCATACAGCTATTTCCTAGGTTAGGAACAGACCAGGATGGTACCTAATACCTTTATGTAAAACGTACCTAGTCCATCTTCTCTGGAATTACTTCGAGCGCCACCTCCCTTTCAGTGTCCTCTACCAGATATGGGAGCGCCACATCAACGGAGACTAAACACTTACCCAAGGATTGCCTGTTTGTTTTCCTCGGCATCGGCATAGAACCCCACTGATCAATCACTGTATGGCGATTCAAGCGATTGGCAATCCAAAAATGATTCGATTGGGACGTTATTGAAAGCTTTGGCTACATATGTCCTGAAAATCCTGCATTTTTGAATGCTTGGTAGTATATAGCCGCCTTTTCCTGTTTGCAACACCACACTGTATATACATAGACCAATAAGCTTCACAATGTTGCGCTTCGAGGGGTAAAATTACAAGACGCACAGTGTGAATAGTAAATTTAAATCAACCTAACTAGTTTAATAATTATGTATTCGACATAACTAATAATTAATAGCCTTAAAGTACAGATTTTATTTTTCAAAAGTTCTCTAATTTACACATCAAATTTCTTTAAAAATCTCAAAACACAGCGCAAACAATAACGCACCAGCATTAGCTTCTTGCTTTGCGTAAAATAACACAGATTCTCCAATGCAAAACCACAGAGGGCACTCAACAGTCCCGCTGACCACACAATCCAGGCGAATTGAAAATACTCCTGATTCAGTGGCTGCTTCAAAGGTCGCTTTTGTTTGCGCTTACGCAGTATACCCGCACGAAACCCATCGCTTTTCGCGCTTTCAATCCATTTGATAGTAAGGCCTGCGGCTTGCGCCCGCAAAATGAACCGATTTACTAAGTGCTCGTAGGGCGACCGATTGGGCAGCAAAAATCCAAACGGCAATGTGGCAATACTTTCTCCACACTCATGCAAAGGCTTTCGGTCCATGTGTTCCTGCTGCAGTAACACAAAGTGCACCACATCTGCACAGGCGGTATAAGCGTTCGGCTTTAATGCCATTAATTCGTCTCTCAATTCGGTGGGATCACGCGGAATCAACAGTCGAAAGAAGTCCTTAGACAAACTGCTGCTGTTGCGTAAGACCTCTATTTCATTAAAGTTAGTATTTATGCTGACATTGTGCTCGACCAAAGACGCCAATGTGTTCCAAGGTGGACGAAATATGGCTGAAGCCAAGAAGCTGGTGAGCGAAGCTTGATAAAGATTTGTGAGCATGAAACCAAGTAAAGCTGTGAGCACTAAAGTGCTGGCACTGTGCCAGTGAAAGCATTTGCGATCGCACGGCGTGTTGATGGGCAGAAAGAGTAGCAAACGCCACACTTCCAAGCAGCCGCGTCCGAAGCTGGGTCGCACCTGTGGATTCCAATAGGAGGATATACGATCCGACAAGCGGCGTATAAGACTTAAGTAGAGCAGGCCAAGAATAAAACAGAACCACGTGTGGGTCTGAAAAGGGCGCACAAAATAACGGAAACGCTCGATTTCACCGCTAGATGGGACTAAGACAGAAATTGGCTGCATCCGTATGGGATAACTTAAACGCAAACCCGGATAGAAAAAATACAAATTCATTGATATGTCCAAACCGCCGCGTCGAATCTGATCAATAACGCTCATAATATTGTAATGACTCGAGTTGTTTAAAGTTACCAGTTGCAGCGTGGCATTGTGTGTCTTAGCGAGCGCTATTAGCATTTCCGCCGCATAGCCAACTATTTCCGAATTGTTTTGCATCCAAGGTTGCAGTTGAAAAGCGCGCGGTGGATCGAACTGATAGGTGGTGCGCACGCTGCTGCGATGGAAATTCTTCAACTTATCGCTGAACCAGGCCGCGTGAACCGGCATCTGTCGTACGCGCAATTGTGGAAAGCGATCATAACCGTACACAGTGAAAGGTTTTTTCTTGTTGTTTTCTTCGGCATTATCATCCACCAATACCATCGCATTGATAAAACCATTGCGCCAACACCACTCAAAATGCTCGCTCACCTGACTGCTGTACACCTGCCGACGAGTCACATGCCGTGGCACCACAAACAGACCGCGCACACGCGTCTGTCTATCGGCCAGCACGTCGTTCATGCGTTGCCACATGGGATTGCGCGTCAGTTGGCCGACGGCAATGTAAAATATGTCGCTGCTAAACTTATCCGCCACCGTAGCGGCGCCCAGTGGCTCATTGCATCCTTGAGTTATTACAAATTTGGGCGTCGTATTGGCCGCGGTTATGTAAGGTTCTATATCGCTAAAGGCGCCGAAGTAAGCGATCGTGAGTATGGCGCGTTGTGTATGTACGGCCGCGATTACCCGGTCGATTGCATCGCGTCGGCGAAGTTGAGTCACCGCATCGAAGGTGTCATTGACGATTAGCTGCAAAAGCGCGCTGGATACGTGTGATTTAAACCAAAACATTATTTGAACTGCGCTCAGCATTGAAAGCGAAATCAAAATACATAGTACGTAGTACGTAGTACGTAGTAGAAAGGTATGCGCTGCGCTATAGCTTTTTGATTGCTTAGAATACAGGACAGTTGCAAATAAACTGTAATTACTGGATTAATATTTATTTTACCGGCAAGTGGTAATTGCATTTCAATGGTTTGGGGTGAAATTTAAATAAGAAAAGTAAATTTTTGATAGTACATGCGAGTATTAGCTAATCAATTTCCAATATTTCCAATAAAAAACTAACACAGAACTACTTCTAACTAAAAATTCGTGACATTCAAGTGACACTCAAGACACTGTTTACCTTGGAGCTACATTCATCTTAATTCTTTCAGTACACTGAGAGTCTTAACTCCTTTGCTGGCGTTGGCATTCAGCTACTTTTGTGTTCCAGACCGCAAGGGGGTAAAGGGAAATAAGGTAGATAGATTAGTTAGGGCAGCAGAAGCCCTAGCAGGAGTTAAGACAGAAAGTCGGAACATTTTACCTCCTAGAAAAAATAACAAGTTTAATTTTGCAGGGTTCACACCCTACCCACAGCTAAAATCCCAGTTCTCAACCTCAGGTAGTCCTGCATGAGTTTAAACAGTGTTTCCAGAAGCTTTCCCCTTATTAGCAGTGCAACATTGTCAGCATAGGCAACCACCGGGAAGCGACTTCGCTCCGGAGTTACCAACAGGTTGTTGAGGACAGTAACCCAAAGTAATGGCGAAAGAACTCCCTCTTACTGGGTACCTCTACTCACACATCGCCAGATTGAAGCACTGCCCTCTTTACCGCAACAGCTCTGTGCAAAGCATGCTTTAAATAAACTTCATAAGGTCGGCTCCGACCCCTAGTATATTCAGGTGGTTTACGATAGCCTCAGACAATGGGATTTTAAAAGCTGCTTCGATATCAAGGAAGACACAAACCGCGTATTTCTTCTGCGAAAAAGACTATCCAATACAATCAATGTCTATGTGTAGAATCGTCTCAACGAAGATAATTTTGTAGTAGGCTTGCTGATTTAAGGAAATACGCTCCCTGAGAACACCGCTTCTTGGGTGCAGATCAATCAGACTGATCGATCGTAGGTATAAAGGTGACTCTGAACACCCTCCAAGGCAACGGAACATAGGCAGCTCGCGAATATAGGCATCAACCAGCGGCATGAGACCGTCGTAGACTTCTGCAGTTGAGCTGGTATAATGCCATCCTAACGCGGGGGAATCAATTGCCCACACAAGTCAGGAATCTGGTCAAATGATTTCTTTCGCTTTTACGATTCGGCTAAGAAGACACAACTGCAACTGTTCCTTGCGTGTTTGACTGTCCTAATTTCAAAAGCTCTTCTAAAGTTTCGGAGAACTTTAGGACCCAAACATGTGTTGCGATGAGGAGTAGAGGGCGAAATAGATCTGAAGATCGCTTTGCATACCACCTGTAATTATTAATCTGTGTACCCTATCCTTTCCATTAAAGCCACTTGGAAATCATCGGAATATCTTTAAAATTCATTACACTAATTGCACCTTTTCTGATGCAAATTTATGCCTGAGACTTTTGCTTGAAAACGCCTTAGGGAAATAAGTCACCTAAATGAGTGAATTTTATAATTACGCCTGTGCAAATATTTACATTTTGTATATCGAAAATGGACAATGTATGACACTCACGGCAATGCAGACGACCACTTTGTAAGCGATTGTAGAAAGCTTAGCACTGTATGTGCAAGTATTTGAGTTTGTTTATTTACTATTTGGTACAACAGCCAAGTGGCGTAACAGCACACACACACACACTCGTCATGATGAGGCCACACCGAGTAATGAATAATTTGCTATGTAAATACTAAATAAGAGTGGCAGCGACTACAACAACCAAAGGACACGAAAGACTCGAAACAAATAGCAAATAGAAAGTAATTCTACTAAGAAGCAAGAAAAGCTAGGCGTTAAGAAAGTAACCGCTGTGCTACAGGCAACTTAAACAAAACAAATATGCAGCTACAATAGCAACAATAATAACAACAACAATAGCAATATTAACAAGCGCAACAAAAACACTGCAGCCTGAGTTGATTTTTAGGGAAGAGAAGCAGCTGACTCTGGGCCTTTTGCCAATCCGTTGACGCTATGCGTTCAACTACATATTCAATCAACTTATTGTCTACCGCTTTATTTGTCAGTGTATATATGTAAATGTAAGAATTAACGTGCTTCCGAGTGTTTGCATGAGCTTGTGTTTGTGCAGAGTCAATCATGAATGAAATTTGCCCGCCATCTGTTTACAATGGGAATGCAGCGCGCAAATACATGCAGAGTAAGGCATTCGGTTTAAAATAATTCGCACACGCGCACATACTCACATGAACACACGTACACCCCGTGTCAATATAATAAGCGCACCACATATTGTAAACTTTTAATAATTTTATTTTTATTTTTGCTATTTAATTTTATATATTTCTTTACAAAAATATAGTTTATTTTTTACAAAAAAAGTAAGTTCAACTCACAGGGCAACACTGATTTTGTTGCGGCAAATGTTGAAGTTGTTTTTGATAGACTTTTTTGACAATTTGGCCGGGTTTTTCTCAAAATCTGTAGCTGATTGAAATTTTGTGCTTAAGGATTCGTATTCAGCACATAAAGTGTATCAGAAAGTAGTATGATTTTCTTTATCTTCATAATTTCCGTTTCCTGATGTTTATCTTTTTAAGCCTTCGGCATAGCCGAAGACAGCGCTGCTCTTACTTGTTTTACATTTCAAATGAATATTCCCACTCCCCTTTGCTCATATAAAAGAAAAGTGTTTAAATTTACCTTGGTCTTCATCTTTATTTTTATCTTTGATATATTTGCTTTTATCTTTTTCTTCATCTACATATTCAACTATATGAGCTGAGGTTGTGATGACGTGACCAGATGTTGTGTGATGTGATGTCAGATAAATCGATGCTATGCGATGTGATTTTAAGTTATGTAATGTAATGTTATTGCATGTGATGTGATGTGATAGGATGTCATGTCATGGGCTCTCATGTCATGTGATGTCATGTCATTTGACGTGGTATCATGTGGTGACATGTCATATTATGTCATATCAGGTGATGTCATGTCATTTTATATCATCATACCGTGTGAAGTCATATCATGTGATGTCGTATAATGTGATCACATGTCATGTGTCGATTATTATATCGATAGCAATATCGATAAGCGTACCAATAAACATCTCGATAACTGTATCGACTAGTACACCGATTACAATATTTATAAGCACATCGATAAATATAACGCTTGCAAAATCGATAACAGTACATACATACATTAATTTAAATATCAATAAAAGTTCGATAAATATGTTGCTAAATATATCAATAAAAATATCGATTGTTATAACCTAAAATATATCCATGTACATACATATGCATGTTTCCTTTTAAACCATTTCCGTCCCAACCCTCTCCATGTGCATCATTTCCGCTGAATTTGCCAATTTACTCCCAACCAACCAAACGCCGCTAAAGAAGTTTTACTCAAAAAATAAATTGTTAAAACTTGTCAAAAAATAAGTGGTGCGCTTATAATTTTGACACGTACTGTATATGCACACACATATTTACATACATACATGCATACATGCAACCACGCTCATATGTATACAAATAACTGAATATCTGCGCCCAAAAGTAGATAGCAAAATAAACAAAAGTGAATGTCATATAGATTTGCATAAGTATGAGTGGCAAATACACGTGACTAAGCAGTGCGCATGTCAAGCGCAAGTTTGCCGACTAGGCATATTAAACAACAAACAAATAGCGGAAGAACAAGAAAAATAAGCATAAGTATAAAAAAAATAACAACCACAAGTAAAAACAAGCAACGTAAGAACTTTAGTTGGCAACAAATAGCAGCGCAAACACAAGAATGCAATGCGAGACAAAAGAAAGAGGAGCAGAGAAACTAACTCACAAGTGTTGCCTGCTTTTAGGCGCCAANTGTGGTCTCGCGGCAAGCTTCTTGGCTTTTTGGTGGCATTAAATGCGCTTAAATGTGATGGTCGGTTAGTGCGTCGCCCGGTAGGCCTGTCTCTAAGTGAGTGGGTGTCTGTCTGCTGCTAAGGATTTGCCACGCCAATGCTCTTATTGCTTCGTTTTTCAATTTTATAAAGCAGGCAACGCCAAATAAGTGTACTCAAATAAACGTATAAAGCCAGTCAATAGTGGAAATTCAATTTAAGCGATTTCGCCTAAACAGATTTGAAAGACGAAAAAGCGCGAAAAAATGTTCATTCTAAGACGGCCAGTGCTTTTGATTTGGTGGTGAGTTCTTGCTTTCTGTAAATTTTCTTTCTTTTTGTAAATGTATTTTTTCTTTCATCCGCCCATCGAAGTTTGAAAAGTGCTGAAGTTTCAATTTGATAAAAAAAATTGTGTGTCCCTCCTGTGCTATTGATTGTAATCCGCATAGCTATTTGTAGCCGTTATTTATTGCTTCTAATGATGATCTTACCGAATGCCACTAGGCGGTTAATGTGCAATTTAATAAATTTAAAATACTGTCCGATAAAATTAAGTGTTCCGGTATTGATTTGAGTGTAATGTCACAGATTGCTTGGGTGGCTCAAGTAAAAAATGTAAGAAAATAGAAAAAGTTGGAGGTAGCCGCATGAAACATTACTGCTGATTTTAAACAAGCCGCATATAAAAAATTTCACTTCGCCTTTTAAAATCTGTACTTTTGACCATAAAATGGTGTTTGCACTGGTTGAATGTATGTGTGTATGTGTGTATGTGTTGTATTTACTATTTAAAAACTTGTTTGAGTTGCTTAGCATGGATTGTTAATTTTTCATAAAGGAGTGGAAAGTGTGAAATTTTTCTATTTTTAACACAGTTTTTCTATTTTTTTATTCTTTTGTATAAAAGAGCAACAATTATAAATAATTACTACTACATATAAATAATAAATAAT